AAGAATATATAAATATATATGTATTATAATATTTATAAATAGGGTGACCTATTCTAATTTACTACTCCTAAAAATTTTTTATTTTTGAGTTTGTAAAAAATTTTAAAACCGTTATATTTTTGTCTAAAATATTTTTTTCCTAAAATCAAAAATAAAGTTTTTGAGAGGTAAATTAAAATGGGTCATTCTGTTGTATTAAATTATTGTACTTAGCTTCAATATTTCAAAATTTGTCAAAAGTCACCATATCTTTTTTGACTAGCTTTAAATAATTTTATTTCATCCATTTTATTTCATCATTTGTTAAATCAATGCTCACTTTTGATGAAATCATGTTTTCTGGAAAAGAGAGAGAAAATAAAATTTGATTCACTTTGAAGTATTTGCATTTTGCAATAATTGAAAATGTATATTGTGTTTACTGTTATTTAATTTGTCTTCTTTGCGTCCGCCTTTTCATCTTTAGCTTGACCACGACCAAACAATCTAGCCAATGAGTCCCAAATTCCTCCCAGGAATAAAGCGCAGAATAAATTTTCAAATGGCACAAATGGATCATGAATGCCAAGCAAAATTGATGATAACTGAAAAATAATATTATTGTTAATATTATCTTGTTTTACATGTGTTAAATGTATAAGTTGAAGGAGATTATTAGGATATAGAGACTTTACCTTGAAGTAGACAAAGAAAATAACAATGCCAAAGTATACAAGAGCATGAGGAGCAGAAATGAGATCAGTCTTCTTATCTAATACAAAGATAATTGATGCAACCATAGATGCTTTCGTAGGACTGAAAAGAAAAATTATTTATATTATATTTATGTCAATTAAAAATATGATGATATATTATAAAGAAGATTGTAACTTCTTTTGCGACTTTTCGTGAATTATTTCATTTTTACATTTTCTTATGTATTTTTCTTCATAGAAACCAAAAATTATCATAATAATAATGAACTGGATTAATAATTCTAAATGAATTTTCAAATGATTGAAACATAATGATCAATTTTGTAATGATATCATTGTCACTTATTTTGAAGCGATTCCGTAATAATAGTGATTTTATTTTTCATTTCAATATACCAATGTACAAAAATAGCATTATTATATTATAATTTTCGGTCTCTACGAAAAAAAAATACATAAGAAAATGTATAAATAAAATAATTCCTGAATAATCATAAAAAAGTGAAAGTTGTACTCTCCTTCATAATTTAAATATTTATTTATATAAATTTATTATAAATTTACATACAAACTAGGTTGCATGAATTCCATCGCAGTCGGTGTCCATACGCCACGTATAAGACGCTCAAATAATTTGGTAAATTCAGCTCCGTTACCTATATAAATATTATATTTGCACATATGTTAATTATTAGTTAATATATTAGCTTATTTTATAGCGTGCGTTCGTATATTTAGTTGTGAAAATGATGTGCTATATATTAGATTGGGGAAAAAGTCCTTTTATTATATTGTACATACATATTTGTAAAAAGACCCTTCTCCAATCCACCATTTGTACGAAATTTTTGTTGCAATTGTATCATTTGTTAGAGCAAAGTTTCAACTTTAAGAATCTGTTTTTTTTAATTGCAGATTTTCAACGGAGCAATTAAAATCAGAATATTCCTTTACTACTCGCGAATAACTTAATTAGGAATAAAAAATCGTAGGAACATTAAAAAAAAATTTATAGGAAAAGCTTCAAACTTTCACGATAGGTAGTTGAAAATTTTCGCAATTGTTTTTTAGGTACGTGAAAGACCCACAAAGTGAAAAGAAAAAATTTTCATCTTTTTTAGTTCGTAGTTTTTTTATATGTAAAAATATCAAAAGAACTAAATTCACAGAAATTCAAAAAATATAGTAATTTAAAAAAAAAAAAACTAGTAGAGATTTTAAAACTGTAAAACCCTTTTCTTCAAATTTAAATTTCATTCATTTTTAATGAAAATATTATAAAATAAAGGTTTCATATATATGTAAAAAGACTTTTCCCATCCTAATATTTTATTTGATATATATATTTTATGTTTTATGACAAACCTTTGAACGTTCCAATCAATATCATAATGAGATATGCATTTGGATAAAGTTTCCCTGCGTGAGTTACTCCATCGTACACCTTTTTACACCTGTAAAAAATAGCATAAGATTATATGCATTGGCGTTTTATTTTAAATCATTTTATATTCTCTTTTATGTGCAAATATTACGCAGTTATTATAAGCATATGGTGAAATAAAAAAAAAACATCTTAAAAATTGATAAATAATATTTACTTGCCTATAAATTTCTTTCATAGCAGCACAAACTATTTTAATTGGTAAAAATTTGGCGATCTTATATCCAATGTCAAACGGTGTGTAAAATATCACATACCTGAAACATTTAAAAAAGTTTCCTTTTAATAATGCAAAATTTTATTTTTTTTTACCAATATCACTCATTTTTCTTTTTAACTATTAAATTTTTTATTTTTTGAATAATTTTTGTAAAATTGACGTAATATTAAAAAAATAGTTTATAGAATACAAAGCATTATAACGGGCTACACACAGACATTACTGACCACACAATAGTTGCAACTACCACTTGTGGTGTATTTTTCAATGGTGCAAGAATTGGTTCCCCTAATAATCCATTGCACAGCATACTGCTTGCAAAAACGGACAACATTGTAGACAGCCAACATGATAAGGGATGTTTACGGGAAAATGCTTGTGCACCTATATATGAGATATATCATAATTGTTAGATATACATTATTTCCTGAAAATTTTTTATATCTACAATAATATATAATAGTGTATATTTTAAATAAAAAACAAGAAACAAATAAATATCTGAAATTATATCTACATTTAGATCAAAGATCATTTGTAAAATATTCTTTTCAGCAAATGCTTTTACCATAAATTTTTTTTATGTAATAGATAAGATTTTATTACTGTAATAAAGATTTTATTACAGTGTGGAATGTTGGAGATATATATTGAGATAAGTCAATTAGAGAATCCTTACAAATATAACACATTTCACTCAGAGATGTGCGAGTTGCTGACAATAAAAATAATAATTAAATACATTTATAAAAATTTTTAATCTTAAAAAAATCAAATTTAAATTTCTGTACAATTTTGATATTTTTCGATTTAATACTTTTTAGAAAGTTAACCTATTGTGTGAAATCTATTTCTTAAAAATAACATCTTTCAGAATAATAATATTAAAACCAGATATTTTGAGAAGTCAGAGAAAATTTAGCCCCTATCTTTATTTTTATCACTATTTTAAGTTATCTATAATTTTATTTGAATAAAAAACAAGAAAGAAAATTTCTTTATAAAACAATTTAATTCAATCTTTATAAGTTTAAAAATAGCAGTTTATAATATAAGAATAAGATTTTTTGTAATATAAACAGATAATTTTCTATTAATGTAAACTGGCAAAGAACATATTTTAGAGAAGCTGCTTCCAAAAGAGAGCCCTTATTTTGAATACTTCTGGCTCCGTACATATGCGGGCACGGTGCTGAAATAGACCAGCTGGGTTGTCTGTGTCATTGCCTTGAGATAGAATTATATGATAATTGTGCCAGAAAGTAGTAAAATCAGCTTGTAATTCTTGATTAATTTTGATCTTGGTGTGTTCTTAATAATGCATTAAATACTCCTTCCATTTTCTTTGTGAATATTATTTTATTATCATTTTATTATCATTTTTCATGACCTCTTTTCTCAAATATATAGTTGTCAATCGGAAAATTATGAAAACCAAATAGTTGTCATTTTGTAAAACAAAAATGAATAGAATGTGATAGCTATTATTTTGTAATAAATAGAGAACTAAATAAATTAAGTCTACATAAAATAAAATAGAATAAAAAATTTTATAAAAAATCTTCGTCATTTTTAATACACAGTGCGAAAGAATATATAAAGAAATTGAATATTCAACTGGTTGCATAACTCATGTGATGTTGATTATTCAGATTATGGTATAAAGTAAATTAAATATTATTTTAGAAAAAATTAATCTCTTTTATTAATTTATAAAGCATAAAAAACATATCTATATGTAAATTTATGCAAATTTTATAAAGATTCAATAATTTGAATCGCATAGTTCGATTTATTTTTCAGTGCGATATATTTTCGAAATAATGAATACGTGATTGAAATTAAACTCGAATAATCGTAGCATTTTCGAAAACTATCCAAGAATTTCAGGTGAATTCTATACTCTTATAAGGAATAGTTATTTGTGGAGAGATATTTCAAATATCAAAAGTTATGCAACCAGATAAAAATTCATTTTTTTAAATAATATTAATCTTTAAATTCATAAATGCATATTCTTATTGCACTATATATGCTAGTAAAAATGATGAGTACTGTTTAATTTTATTCTATTTTACATGGAGTTCAATTTGTTTTATTTTGTCTCCTTATTTATAAAATAACAGCTATTTCAGTAACTTTCTAGTTACTACTCCGTAGATTGAAATAACTCTTCAATTATGCAACAGTGATTATGGCGTGCAATCAATCAAACGCAAGATACAATTCGCGAGGTAACGTTACATAAACGAGAGAATTTCCACGTTGTCATTAGCGTGCATAATTCAAAAATGTGAATTACATATGGAACGCTTGAAAACACAATTTTTATGTATTGGAACAGCTCTTCTATAATTTCGAGAGAAACGCGAAAGATATTTATCTTTCCTAGATTCTGATAACAACATTATACATTAACATGTACAAACAATCGTTGTTTGACGTTTTATGAAACCTCAGACAGTATATTATTTATCAATCTATATTATTTATTAGTCCTTGATCGTTATTTATCAGCTTATTATTTGCCCACAATATTTCAAGTGTCTAGCGAAATGACTGTAGCTGTAGTATGTAGTCGTGTTAATTTTATCTTGACACGAAACAGTTTTATATTTTTTTTTCTAGCGAGATCGCTGATTGTATCTAGCGTTGGATAATTCAACGACATATTAGATTAACTTTAATCTTGATTTAACTTATTCTTTATCTTTTTCTAGTTGTGATGTTTGTGGTGTATTAATGATAATTTAAAGATATGTATTACATCTCAAAATATTATTAAGAATATAAACATTTTGTAGATTGTTTTATTATTACGTCTGTGTATTTGTATAAAATTTGAGCACAAGTCTGTTTTATTGGTTTAAAAGTCATTTAATTCTTTTGTTAGTATTGATGCTTACGTAAAAGCGCGTTTTGCAGTAGTTATTTGCAAATTTGGTAAAATCATAGTATAAAGAATTAAATCAAATGTTCTCTATATAATTTATAAAATTCTATAAAGCTTTAATAAACATTTATGTAAAAATTTATTTGGATTTATTTACACATTTAAAAGTGTATTTATCTAAAACTGCAGCAAAATATGATCATTTCGTTACATACAGCAATTTGTTGTTTTATTTTTGCAGTTGGTTTCAAAACATACACGTATAACACAAATTTGTTGACTCTAACTTTTTCAGCTAATCTTTTGGTTGATATTTTTAGCTGATAGTCAAAACATCCTTAACTTCAATGACTCAATTAATTCTCTCTCTCTCCCTCCCTCTCTCTCTCTCTCTCTCTCTCTCTCTCTCTCTCTCTCTGTTTCTCTTTACTTTTTCCTGAGGTTACAAAAAGATGAAAAGAGAGTAACTAAACTGAGATTAAAGATGTTTTGACAGTACTTTTGATACTGTACGCCAATCAAAAGTAGATATCAATAAAAACAATCAGCTGGTTATATTTAATCTACATTGGTAAAAAAAATGAATATAAGTATTAAAAAAGGATAAAGATTAAAGTTAATTTACACTAAAAATGTAGACAGAAGTGAGCGAAAGCACAAGGGAGGAGGGGAAGGGGGAAAGAGGAGAGGAGAGAGGGGGAGGAAGAGAGAGAGAGAGAGAGAGAGAGCAGGTCTGTAAATATAGCTTTATGGGTGAGCGTGGGACGTGTGGTCGTCCTCCGAGGTCACGGAGAAGCTGTCTCACCGAGAGTCTCCACAGCCGGGGACGCCGGGGGACGCGCGCCGGCGAGAGAGAGAGAGAGCGCTACAAATTTAGAAACGCGGCCGGAGCGCGGTGGACTGGCGCAACTCACCGGTTCCTAGATCATCCCTGACGTGCGCTGCAACTAGCACGCAATGCGCTATGTCGAAATACGGGAACATTTTCAGCTTAATAACCTGATTGGCCATGTCCAGGAACGCCTCGGGATCCATGGTCGCGATAGCACGTTGCTCGCCCGCCGCTCGTTGTTTTCAGCCTAATCGTACGTACGACGTACCACACGACGTTCGCACACCTCAGCACGTCTCACGCGAGTATTAAAATTCTCGCGTACTCGTCGACAACTTCCTCGATTCAAATCAAACGCTCGCGACCGAGCGCCCGCGAGCGACGCCAGCTACGTGTTGTCTGCTATCGTCGTCTGCTAGACTAATCCAACTTAACCTAACCTCGCGCTCGACAGGAAATATAATAAAAGAAAAAAAAATCACGACTTCTTGCTTTATCGATGAAGTAAAATGCTTGCAATGGTTGTTTCTTAAACTGTGTGTAGATGGCGATGAAACATTGCGAATATAGCAATCTAAAGGTTTCTACTATTTTGTGTGTAGCCTAAAAAGATTTCTACATTATCAACATGACCTTTGTAATATATGTAATATATTAGGTGTAGTAAAAAGAAATACATTATTTTTCCAATAGATTTTATTAAAAAATAATGGATTTCTTTTTACTAATATATATATATACATATATACAGGTGTCCCGAGAGATTTCTCCAATATTGTACAAGAAAATAGAGATAGGATCGAAATAAATACAAAAGTCCTATACTGTTTAGAGATTCTCGCAATATTAATATAGATATTGCGAGAATCGCAAGAAGTCTAGCGGGACATTTTGTTTTTGTATATATATTTTATAATAGATATGTGGAGTCGCCTATTATTACTGATAAAATAACTTATTATAGTGTTTCTGACGTTTCTGTTTCTTGCGTCCAACTTTTTGTAGTAATTTTACAATAAAATTTCCTTTACCACGATTAAAATATCATACATATATATATATATTCATGCACATCGACACTTGGCAATCATCAATCAATTCAAGAAAAAGAAAGGTGCATATTATTCACAAATGATAGACAAATCCTAGCTGTGTGTCATGTATTCCTCACGGTATAAAAAAATTCATTAAGTCGCATGCGATTACGTTTACACTGTGAATTTAGGTCGCGGCCTATACTCGCAAATTATTTTTGCTTGCTGTAAACACAAATAAGAGATGACCTGACCTCGGCTTAGGTCAGGCTTCGGTTATAAAAGTCTGGTTGCATCACCCGTCTTGGATGGACGCGTCTTTGTCGGGTGCTTGTTTATATTTTTGAAAAGTGTGGCCGATTTTGACTATGCCTTGTGATTACTTTAAATCCACTTAGCGGTCCCGCGATTTCGTTCGTCCTGACGCGCGTATTAGCGGCGTGACGACGTCGTGGACGCAGAGGCGCCCCGCGGTGTTCGGGCGATTTTCGCATATACGTGCATTTCCCTATAGAATACGTGAAGCTCACTTATATAAAATGCGCGCATATGCTTGAAACGAAACGCAGCCTTAAGCCGCAGCACACACTTTTGCATGACGCATAAAAGAATCAATCGATCAAAATTCTCTCTTCCCTGAAGTGGGAGGAAAAGAAGGATTATGATTTGTTGATTCTCTTATGTGTATCATGCAAAAGTGTGTGCTGCGGCCAATAGTCTGATAGATAGTCTAGACTTATCTTGAGTTGCACTATATAGGTCATGTTGCGTATAGGCTTCTCAGTGTAAATGTAGATATATATATATATATATATATGATATGTAAATTAGTTACATAAATAAATGTAATTATCGCAAGCATAAAAGAATTGATCAAAACAAACTTAACGAGTAAAATACTAGAATTAATACAGAATAACAACACTTATATAGACGATTTTTTTTCTTACACTTCTGACAATTACGTTTATTTATGTTAATTTATTCACGATGCAATTCATGGCCTTGACGGATTTCTATTATACTATAAATAAAGGAAACATATATGTTTCGATCTCTACATAGATTGTTAAGAGTTTGTGAGCGATGTGATGTATATCTTTCTTTTCCTTGTGAATCGATTGATCGTCACTGCCAAGTATTAATATGTGAGATTGTTTTTTACTCTATATGTCTATTTTTTTAAAATTTATTTGTGTTTTGAAAATAAAGGAGCTGAACATAATATAATTATTCTCAACACCCAATGACTCAGAAAAAAGGAATAATTTTTGGTTTAGTGGACAGAGTGTATTGGCTTTCACATCCAGAGTTTCACGAAAAAAAATTTAAAGTTTATTACAAAAATTTTAATTAATAATGATTATCCTTTGGATTTTATAATAAAAATGGTGACAGACAGAATAAAATTTCTAATTAAAAAAACAAATTTAATAAAGAATAAAGAAAAACTTGATGATATTCCAAAAACAAGAAACGAAGTGGTTTACGATTCGTTATATAAACAATTTTTCAGAAAAATTTAAAAACATTATTAACAACAGTTTACATAGCGTTTCATTCTTTAGCCATTTTAGAAGATATTTATGAGTTAATATCAAAATGTTTTGAATGATAGTGGATGATATTAGCTTATTTTGATTGACTATTATTTTTAATTGATATTGTATGGTCAAAACACACACATTCTTATTAGCAATTACATAATTAAAAAGTTTCCGTAATGTTGTTGATACTGAGTTTTTACTTCAAGTTGTGATTTATCTTATTTTTTGTATTCGAAAGTGCAATGTAAGTTCTTCAGCAAGTTATTTTATGTAATCATTTTCACGAGTTCAGTTATAGACGCAGATTTCTATGCGAATGCTGTAATAAAGTGAAGAGCGATCGGTGCAACCTTAGTAACAATATTATTAATTATGCAACTTTTTCTTTTTTTTTAGTGAATATGTTACTAAGTTATTCAGAAAATGACATGACAATACTGCTAGTTTCCTGTTACGTAAAGTAAACGATCTATTAATTTAAGAAGAAGAAGAGGAATGTACTAAGTTATACTGAGACATGTTGATGAAGCATTTAATCTTGGGATTTGATTGAAAGACTACGTAGAACAATTTGTGAGTTAGAAAAATGTCGAGTTGTTTTATTTTGTTGTCCTATATCGTGTGTTTTATCTTAATCGGCCTCGCCACAACATCAAAACCTCTATCAATTTTATTAATAGAGTCTCTTCCATCGCCTAGCCACCATATCTGGGCGACACATTTGGTTAATGGATTGCTTCGCAAAGGCCACCATGTACACGTAGTGAGCATACATGAGACTAAGGTCGAGGATAAACTTGCGCAGAATTTGACATATCGTGTAAGTAAATGTGTGTTATAAGAGACTTTGAGACATTCTAAATATAAATCGATTGTTTCAAATTTGTAAAACAAATGCGAAAGAATGTAATTTTTCTGTTTTAAAAAACGTTTTATATTTTATCTCGATCAAATCATACTAGCAAAAATCTCAATTTATTTTCATATTCTTATGTCTTTTCCAATAAGGAGTATTTATTATTTTTTTCAGGTTTTCGATGGTTTGATGGAAGAATTTGACGAATCTGGAAGTTTTAATCCGATTGAATGGGAACAGTACAGTGTACCGTATTCAATATATTATTTATATCAACTATGTAATATGGGATGTAATATGATAATAAACACTAAAGCAGCGAAAGAGCTTTTGGAAATGATTAAAACTGTCGAATTTGACATTATAGTGCAGGATATTACATGTGACGAATGTTTATACGGATTGTGGGAGGTAAAGCTAAAGATTACAAAATAACAGTTTTTTTTAGCTTTAGCTATGTCTCTACTATTATTTTGTATATATTGTTTTGTATAGGTTGCCAAAGGTAAACCACCCGTAGTGGGATTTATTCCGTATGGCTCTATACCTTGGCTCAAAGATTTTATTGGAGGTCCAAATTATCCAACTGTTCGATCTTATGCAAGTTCAGCCATCAGTGAACCCATAGGTTTGTGGCTGAAAACATGGAATACTTTATATTTCATTATAGATGATCTCATGCGACATTACTATTACTTGCCTATTGCGCAACAATTTGCTGAGAAATATGTAGGTCACCCAATCAGGCAATTACACGAAATAGAAAAAAACAGAATTAATATCGTATTAATAAATAGTCATTCTGCATTTCAACCTGCAATTCCATTACCGCCGAACACCCTGGAAATTGGAGGACTGCATGCTCAAACCGTGCAACCAGTTACTGGCGATGTAGTTACAATATATCCCAAGGTGAGAGAGATTGGCCAAGTTTAAATCGAATAAAATAGCTAGCTTATATTCGCTGAGTGGAAGAACGTGAATTCATAGATTAATAGCAATTGCGTTCAATGTCGCTTGAGCAGACTAGCTAATTGCAGAATAGCTGCGCGCAGATGGTTTTTCTCTGTTGCAAGCTAGTATTTAACTATTTTATTTTAGAATTAATATAAAAATATTATGCGGTAGAAGAATATTGCTAAAAATTTAGATATCTAAAAAAACTTGTTTTTAAATTATATATATATATATATTAATTATATAGAAACTTTAGGGGTTCTATATACAACATATGTTAAGGTTGTAATTATTATAGACGTTTTAATATTTAATAAAATTTTATTGTGTTATTTATTCTGCATTTTAATTAGATTTTTTATTTTTAAGTTTTTGGACATATCAAACACACTATCATTGTAACTAAATATCTTCTAATGATAATTATTCACGGTTAAGATCCGGTTTTGATTAATGTATATTAGACAACTAATAACTATTACTTTATTTATTGATCAAATTTTTCCTCTAACCTGATGATTATCTTTGACATATAGTATGATTAATCATATATATAAAAATCATATATACAAAAAAATTATTTTTTGAAAGTCCTGAAAAATGAGCGGGTGAAAAACAGTCTTATTATTAAAATGTTAGTTTATTATTTCGTAGTTTGTACGCGAATTTCTTGACGGAGCAAAGGATGGAGCCATTGTAATATCATTAGGAACAAATGTGAAATGGAAATCTGTTGGACTAGACAAGTTTGAAACTGTTTTCCTGGCTTTATCAAAATTAAAACAACGAGTACTGTGGAAGTTAGACATTGAAGTGCCATTTGAAATACCGAACAATTTCATGATTGTGAAATGGATGTCCCAATGCGAAGTTCTATGTACGTTTTTTTTTCTGATTATTAGCAAAATATAAAAATGAAATAATAGATCAGTATTTTTTTATAATAAAAAATCCGAATTTTTAAACAATTTACGAATATATATTATACGATAAAATTATTAATTAAGAAGTACATTGTATTAATTTAATTAAGACACAATAATATGTTTATATCAATGTAAATTTTTATCGTAATAATTAAGAGTTAAAATTTATTGTAATTGTAATAAATTCTTTTTTTATGTTTAGCTCATAAAAATGTCAAAGCAATTTGGACTCATGGTGGTCTTCTTAGCGTACAGGAAGCCATTTGGAAAGGTATACCAATGATCGCATTGCCTTTCTTTATAGATCAAAAAAGCAATGCACGAACGTTAGTAGCAAAAGGTGTTGGCATATATTTGGATATAAGAACTTTGTCTGTACAAACTATATTACACGCAATTGAAGAAATACTTTACAATGAAAGGTATCAGATTTTGATTACATTTTAATATTATAATTATAATTTTAGTAATAGATCGATATAATTAAATAACACATCATTATATCCATTTTAGACCGCGATGTAAACACACAACAGATAAGAAGTAAAAGACCAAGCGATCAAGCTTGGATTTTTGGTGTACTGAAACAATTCCGTATGTGAGAATTTATTTACCACAAATTCTTAGCCTTTACTTCTTATCTGTTATGTGTTTACATCGTAATCTAAATAATGTGATACTTTAATATTGTCTATACACGCAGCTTAAAAAATGTATATTATTTATGCATATCAATTATTGCGAAGAATATTACTACAACCTCGGATATCTAATAGTGAGGATGTTCGCACGGAATGCGTGTCATCGAATTCGATTTCCGATCGAGATAATATTTTTCGTAATAAAGTCATTTACAGGTGTTTTAAGTTGTTTAAAGATGCTTAGTATCAATATTATTAAATTACTAGTCAATTTAATCTTTGTTCCTGTTCATGTATCTTATTGTACTCTTTTTTCTTTTTGTTCAATTAATTGTTAAATATATAAATTGTACCTTATTGAAAAAAATTATGCCACAAAATTACATAATGAAATCATGTTTAAATTAAAATATAATATGTAATAATGTTACGTAACGGATCCATTATGTGATTTACTTGTTTTAATTACATGATTTCGTTATGTATAAATTTTGTGTCATTTTTTTTTTAGTAGGGTATTATATTATTAATAAGAAAATATTTTTTGTGCAGTTATACAAAAAACATGAAACGATTATCTAGTGAATTCCGGGATCGGCCAATACCGCCGTTAGACTTAGCTGTTTGGAGCATTGAATACACTGTTCGCCATCCAAACGGAACTTTAGTAACGCCACTTAGACGCCAAAGTTGGATAGAACAGAATCTAATTGACGTTTATGCATTTTTATTTTTTAATCTTATTGTAATATTGTTAACTATATTTTTTGCAATGAAAATACTTATTTATATTTATCATAATTATATAAATGCGAAATTGCAAAAGAGCAAACAAATGTAAGATATTTAAATGTTAATAAACATTATGTCCCAGATAGTAATGTAAAGTCTGTGTCCGCATTAATCACAAGATCTATTGATAGAATTTATTGACGTACACCATGCCAGTAGAGTGGTGGTAAAAATCGAGCGGGATCTGCATGCTCTAATCTGAATAATATCTGATAGTTTTAACTCCAAAAACATTACGCAAGACTGTTGACATAAATTTAATGTGGATAAAATTTCGGGGATTGTGAATACGCATTGCTCAATATCTTACCGTTCTCGAAATTTTGTCCATATTAAATTTTTTTGTATCAGTTTTGGCTTTGAAATCGAACAAGTTTGATGTATTACATAACTTTTAATTAATAATGTATGAAATATATAACCGATATCATTATCTCACACAACACGTGGACGTCCACGTGTGAAATATTGTTGTACAAGTTTCATATGTAAAAAATTGCATTACTACAACACAACGATATCATTAATGTTAGATATTAGCTGTAGACAGCGGTAAACATATTTCTATATTGCTGTATCTCATAGTAAATTTATAGATGTTTGTTGATATGAAGTTTTATCTTAATTGCACTCTGGAACAAACTCAATACAGCCATTGAAAACGAGGCATCAAGATAACATCAAAACATAACTTGCAACATCGATGGCAAAACATCGAAAAAGTGCTGAGTAAATCTTGACATTTTCTAAACATTGATAATTTTTATTTTTATTTCTTCTCTTAATTAATGATATATTTATGCAACTTTTTTCTTATCTTTTTTATAATCGTTTAGTTACAGTTACGAGAAAATAATAACGTGCCGATTTGTCAGGGCTGCGTTCCAATTTCGGTAACTGAAATCTATAGTTGATGTAACGTAAACTATAGCTTTTTAATAACCAAAGTTACATTTTGGAAAGCAGCCCAGCTTGTGAATGATATGAACGTTGTCTCGAAATAAAGAAAGGAGAAATGCAGAGGTGCGTTCAGAATCGTGGTTCGGATGCACTCAGATGTTGTTTTATCCTCGTTATTCACGAATAACAAACAAGAATAACACGACACCTGGGTGCACTTAGGTCTTTTTAATTTTAAGCGAGACTTAAAACTCTATCTATCTCGTTTTAAAGCCGAAAGGAAGACAGATACAGAGACAGTTTAAGTTTCGCTTAAAATCGAAATCACGTTGGTGCAGTCAGGCCTTAGATAATGATTCTGAGCGCAGCCCTGAAATATACTTCTCGGCGAGAATGACTTGTTAAATTCATATTGAATTGACGTCAAATCGATAATCGATTTTAATTAATGTTATTTTTAGTTGGTTGAGCTATACTGCGGCATGTGATTTGATTAAAGAACTATATAGAAGGTTTATCTTATGAATTATATATAACTTTGCGAAAATGTCGAAAGCATTGTCGATTTTATTGATAGAACCTCTTCAATAGTTTCATTACGTTCGGAGGGTTTTGATTGAAAAATTGTTTTGCGAAGGCCAATTATGTACACATAGTGAACATACACGAAATTATATATACAGTTAAATAACTATATAATAAGATAGTAAGATTAATGAGATAAAGCGCAAAAGATAGAAAGAGGAAATAGAAGGGAGAGAGGGAGAGAAAGAGACAAACAGAGAGAGAGAGATAGACAGTCTGTCACAGTTAGACAGACCGACAAGCTAGCAGACTGTCATAGCAGACAGACATACAGACAGACTGTCACAGACAGGCAGATATTAATTATTTATTAAGCGCTCTAAAATTGAATCTTCTCAAACCTTGAAAGTAACACATGATGATCGAGCAACAAAACAAGAGAAATTAAAACCAAATACATAAAATAGAATTTTTTAAATAAAAATAAAAAAAAGATAAAGAAAGGAAGAAAAGAAAAGTTATTGGCAAATATGTCAATACATGCGAGTAATTATTTCCATTAATGTTAACTTTATTATAATATTTATTGCAATTAATATTAATTTATTTAGCTATTCTAAGATTAGGTATTGTATTGTCAATGGTTATACATCTTATACATATAATGCTATAATAATAGTGTTGAAAGTTCAGTTTCTAAAAATTGTGTATAACTTCTACCATTAAGTGTAAACAAAAGGGAAACTGATCTTATAAGGGATGCTTGAATAATGTTAACACACACGTGTGACAAAAACTGATACTGGTCCCGAGATTGATTAATAGCATGCAAATTTTTATGTATTTACAAATATTGATTGCAAAGGTTTTCAATAGTGTTTCTTTTAATTTTTGCGTGAAAGTTACAGATGCTACGAAATGTAATAATCATTGTTGCAAATACCATTGACAAAAAATTAATTGTAATTAATAATTCGCTTGCAGTTTTTTGTATTCTTTGTATTCTTAATAACTGATAAGTAAGACCCAAATGTTCGAGCACTGTCATGAGGCGCGTACAGAGAACCGCTGCAAAGCGTTGAGTGGATGCTTGCAGAAGTGAGATATCAACATTTCGTTGAAGCGTTGAGTGCATTCATAGTTGAATCCGCTGCAGTTGAAATATCACACAGAAAACTTTGTGCGTTTGCTATAATAATGTCGAGTTGTTCTATTTTGTTCCACCTTGTGTGTTGTATTTTAATAGGCCTTGTGACAGCCTCGAAACCGTTGTCAGTTTTACTTATAGAGCCTATTCCATCGATTAGCCATCACGTTTGGACAATAAATTTAATAAAAGGACTGCTTCGCAAAGGCCATCGTGTACATGTAGTGAGCGTAGACGAGACTAAAATCAAAGATAAACTGGCACAGAATTTGACATACACCGTAAGTAAATTTTATGAAACTCGAAGACAAGTAAAACTATCTAATATATTGGATATATAGGCATAATATATCCAATATGCATTGAAAATATCTTAATTTTAAAGAAATATTTAGAGATATCTTTTTTTTTAATGTGTACACATCAATTTTGATAAAATTATTACTTATTATTGAAAGTACTTGCAAAATGATGAATAATGATATTCATTTCATCGTCAATATTGAAAAATTTGAAATATTTACGAAAAATTGAAAATACAAATGAATATGAGAAAATTAAATTATTCACAAATAAAATATACACGGTAAAACATAAAATATTAATTTTAACTTAAAGACTTATTATAATATCTAAATTTTTTGAAACATGTAAAAATGTTAAAATAAACAAACAAAAATAAAATATTATTTTGTTTTGTCTATTTCATCATTTTGCAAGTATTTTTAGTAATAAAAGTTTCATAAAAATTTGTGTATACATTGGAAAGTGTTTCTTCTGAGTATAAATCAATTATTTGAAATTTATAAAACAAATGAGAAAGAGCATAACATTTGTTTAAAAAAAATTTTTTTTTTATATAACATCATGTTTTATATAACAGTATGTTTTTGGAGGTCTTGATTTATTACATATCTTTACACGTCTTCTCCTGTATAATGAAGGGTACTTATTATTATCAGGTGTTCGATGATGTGATGAAAACTTACGAAGAATCCGAGGATTATAATCCGTCTGAATGGGAACAGTATAGCGTATTTTATACAGGATATTTTACATATCAGTGGGGAATCCATGCATGTGACACGTTAATAAAAACTAAAGCAGCGAAAGAACTTTTGGAAATGATTAAAAGTGTTGAGTTTGATGTCATAGTACAGGATATTTCTTTAACTCCATGTTTCTACGTATTGTGGGAGGTAAAGATAAATAAAACAATTAGTGAAATATAGTTATTTAATATATTTTTAGATTGTGAATTGAATTTGCCGTAGAGCGAACGACTTATATCAGTCGAATTAACAATTATTAGTTGTTCGTGTACCAGGATTTTTACAGATCAAATTGTATTTTAGTAGCGAACTAAAAACTCTGTATTTGTTTATCTCAGTAATAATCTTCGTCACCTGTTTTATTCATATGGCATTGCAACAAGTATTGAAATAAATGATCTTATTACTTTCAAGGCTTTTAAGGCCTGCGCACAATGTAACAAATATTAGAAATAGGAATAAATAATTCAATTTATATATGAGATATTATATAAATAATCAGATATTTATTATAAATAAGTAATAGCCATTTAATTGTAATTTTTCCCATTGATATTTTATAAATAATGTAAATATTGTTTTTTTAGATTGCTAAAAGTAAGCCACCTATAGTAGGTTATATTCCGTTTGGCTCTGCACCTTGGCTCAAGGATTTTTTCGGTGGTCCAAATTACCCAACTGTTCGACCTTACGCGCATGCAGCCATTGCGAAACCCGTAGATTTGTGGCAGAGAACATGGAATGCTTTATATTACATTATAGATGACCTCATACGACATTATTATTTCTTACCTATTATACAACAACTTGCTGAGAAATACATAGGTCACGCAATCAGACCATTACATGAAATAGAAAAAGACAGTATTAATATGGTACTACTCAATAGTCATCCTGCATTTGAGTCTGGGATTCCATTGCCCCCGAATACTTTGGAGATTGGAGGACTAAATGCCCAGGACATAAAACCGATTGACGGCGAGATAGTCGTAACGTATCCCGAGGTAAGAGAAATTGTTCTTATTTGAGAATTAGAAAAAACATTGCAAAATGAATATTAACAAAAGAAAAATGATGTATATTATAGAAATAATTTTAATAAAATTTTGATCAAATTATTATCTCTAACCTAAGAATTAGATCCTATAAGAATTCCAAATTTTGACTTACTATTTCCGCTATAATCTATATTTTCACTAGAGGACTATGATGAACGTAAATATTTTATTAGTTTACTTATTACTCTTATTAATCATGAAAAGGACTTAAGGATCAAGTTTTTCCTCATATAATAATTATTTTTGACATTTTTGATAATTATATAATACAAAAGGAATTGTTTAATAAAAATTAGTAGAGCGCTTAAAAAAGGTTTTATTTACTTTCCTCTTTTATACAATAATTTCTATTGTTATTATTATTTTGTTTAAAGTAATCTAATTTCAAATATTAAATATAAATTTAACATCAATAATACTTTTTAGAATTAATTTAATTCCAATTAACTGCATCTTATAATGTAATTTTTGACTAACAATAAATTGTTTTATGTTCATATAACTTTTAACTAAATTAATCTTGTAGATTACTAGAATTTAATTTAATTGAAAAAAAAATTTTGATTTACTCAATTATACGATATCTTTGCATATTAAAATGTGTAATTTATAATTATTTTATAGAATGTGCGTGAATTTCTTGATGGAGCAGAAAGTGGAGCTATCTTAATATCCTTAGGAACAAATGTAAAATGGAAGTCAATTGGATTAGACAAGATTAAAACTGTTATACTAGCTCTATCCAAATTGAAACAACGAATACTGTGGAAGTTCGATATTGAAATGCCATTTGAAATACCACATAATATAATGGTTGTGAAATGGTTATTACAAAAAGAAGTTTTAGGTACGTTTTTTAGTAGTAAGAAAATTATGAAAAGTACATAATTTGACATATATTTTTTATACTATTATATAATAATCATTAAATTTTATAATAATAATTAAATTGAATTTTATTTATTATTTTCTTTAAATAATAGACGATATTATTATATTAATTAAAAAGTGCATTGTATTAATTTAATCGACATGTAATAAAATGTCTATATATCAATGTGAGATTTTTATTATTATAATCAACAGTTAAAATTTATCATTATAAATTGTTTTTAGGACATAAAAATGTAAGAGCAGTTTGGACTCATGGTGGCCTTCTCAGCACACAGGAAGCTATTTGGAAAGGTGTGCCAATGATCATAATGCCTTTCTTTATGGATCAAAAGTCCAATACACAGATATTAATAGCTAAGGGCGTTGGCATATATTTAGACATCAAAATTTTATCCACGCAGACTATATTACACGCAATTAAAGAAATACTTCACAATGAAAGGTATCACATTTGGATTATGTTTATATCACAATTATTATTTAAACAGTAAATTAATAACATAATCAAAGAGTATAATATTGGAAATAATTATCCCCCCGGTAATATGACGTTATACATAACATGTTATTTTCCAATCTTGATTTAGATATTATTTCCAATATTATACTCTTTGTACTATTCTATATATACCTCTCCCCCCCGTTTCCGACACTTCTTTTTGTTACAATCTGATGAAATGATAGTTATAAAAAATTCCAAATATTTTAAGTATATGGGATTTCAAAAGAGTTATATGGATGATTTGTAGAAAAAAATCTTGTATTTTATTAAAAAATTTTTATAAAAGAACAAATTATTCTCCCCTCCCCAAGCAGAACAACAATTTGTTATAATATCAAAATAATATAAAAAATAATTCCAAAATGATCACTAAAAGTCATTTTTGAATCATTTCCGATTCATCTTAATGTTATTTTGATATTATCGTAATTTATTGTTCTACTCTTGGATTAAATTTGAGTTTCCTGTTTATGTATCTTGTTATATTATTTTTTCTTTAATTAAAATGTATGTATAAGTTGTATTATATTATTAATAAGAAAATATTTTTGGTCCAGTTATACAAAAAACATGAAACAATTATCTAGTAAATTCCGGGATCGACCGATATCGCCGTTAGACTTAGCTGTTTGGAGCATTGAATACACTGTCCGCCACCCAAATGGAACTTTAGTAACACCACTTAAATTCCAGAGCCGGATAGAACAAAATCTAATCGATGTTTATGCAATTTTATTCTTTAATATTCTCATAATATTGTTAAGTATATTTTTTGCGATAAAGATATTTATTAATTTTTGTTTTAATCATATATATATCACACCTAAAAATAAACTGCACGAAAAGAAGCAGGCGTAAGCCATTGAATGGCAACTATAGAAAGAGAACGTGTATGTTAAATTATTACAAATAATATTATTAACTGCACTACAATATTATTGCAATTATATATATAACGCGATAATTTATTTTATTTTAAGAAATTAAAATTTAAGTATAAATAAATATAAAGATGTAACATTAGTTATATAAATGTTGTAATCAGTACTTCATGTTGTTATGCACTTAATTATAAAAATAAATCTATATAATGGTAAATATTAGAAATATTAAAATAATATTGTAAATATAAGAAAGATTTTCTTTTATATTAAATAAAGTAATACATTATTGTTTAACAAATTTGTTTTATAATATGTTATTATATATGTATATATATGTTATATAATTTGAGTTATAAATGTATAATGTTAGAAATGTTGTAATTCGATAATTTACTAGATAATGTTAGTAATTTGACCATTTTTAGTCGTTGTATCTTCAAAACTATTCATATAAATATTTAAAATTTTTTTAAGAATATTGCTTCGTACAAGTATATGTTTTTTCTTTTTTTTAAAGACTCCAAGAGTCTTAATTTATTTTCACGCGTCTTATAGATTAAAAAGGATTTATTATTTTTAAATATTCGCTTGATGTAATAAAAAATGAATTCAAAGATTATTAGACTAAACAGAAACAATATAATTTTATATATCAATGAATCTAGCTTGTATGAGATAGAATAATAAAATCTAAAGTAGGAATGCCTCAGATATCCAACAGGATGCTGATTTCTAAAAAATATATTAGTAATAATAAAAATATTTGCATCATTATATACATTCATTTTAATATATAGTTTCGGCCGGATATATATATTGCCAGAGAAATCAGATATCAATAGCAATTCTTCCCGGATATCCGGTTAAAAAAGCTTTGGGAAATGATTAAGACTGTCAAGTTTGATGTTGTAATGTAAGATATTACATTCATTTAATATTTTTACGGATTGTGGAAAGTAAAGATAAAGCACTCTCCAATTAATAAAATGTATTTGTTTAATATAACCAATTTTAGATTACAAGTAACTAAGGTTATCTTATGAACACAATTATATTTGCATAGATTGCGTAGAAAGTACTTACTCGACAATCGTCGTTCATATTTTTAGATAATAAGGTAATGTTATTTTTACTTTAAAATGATGTCTTTGAAGACTTATTGAAATCAAAATGATAACAAATAACGTTATTTTGCTATTCTAGGTCAAGAAGAATATTTTACAATCGCTTCTTATTTCAAAACGCCATTAAAATGGATGTTGAAATAAATTTTATATTAGCCTTTTCAGTAATGCAAAAAATGTAAAAAAAATCTGTGAAAGATTTTATTTTTATTAATACACAACACAAAACAAATTTTTTTTATTTTTTGCAGCTCGTATTATATTATAATATGTAAAAATTATCAACTCATAGAAATTCGAAAAATATAGTAATCTTTCGAAAATAAAGATTTCAAGCTTCAAAACTTTTTCCTTTTTAATTTAAATTTCGTTTATTTTTAACGAAGATATTATATATTCAAGCTAAAAATACAATGTTACGTTTCGATCAACTAAATAATTCTATTAGAATGTATTACATAAAGATCGACTGATTATTATGCATGCAAATGTTTTCAACTAATTTTGACGATGCACTACACCATGAATAGATACTGTGTATTATATACGTACTTTTAAACATTCATTTATGCATTCTTTTTCTTTTTTTAATCATCATATAACTAAGTTGTCGGAAAATGTTAATATTAATTCAACATATTATTAAAGCGAAATTACCATCTCTCTTATTTTGAATGAAAAGATAACAAATGTCATAGTAGAATATATCTAATACTATTGATACATTCAGTCTTGAAATTTAATTGAAAAACTACGCAGGAGGCTTTGTGCAATGATTAAATCTTTCACTTTGTTATTTTATTATACTTTTATTATATTAATTTATTATATTTATTATTATATATAATTCGGCGTGCAATTAAAAATTTACATACGTAGTATGTATAAATTTACATGCAATTATATATTATAGAAGCACCCGAAATGCAGCTTGACGGTTTACAACATGTTCTAATCGGTTTTCATTGGCTTATAGATAATGTTTTTCAAATAAAAATATTTCAAATGCATGCTTAACTTTGCATGTAGAGACTTCTGTCAGCTTCAACTTGAACTATCCAAGTAATATAGACTGCCGACAGGTGGTATTGATCGCATTCTGCAAGTAGGTTGGAATTCGTATCACTAACTGGCACTAAGTTAAATTCCACACAATTTTATATATCATTGTATAAAAGATTTAATATCAACAACTGGTACCAAGTTAAATTTCACAACATTTCATGTATCATAAAAAAAAATTATATAATAACAATAATTAATACCAAGTTTAATTCTATATAAAGAAATATATTTTCTAATTGATAATATCTTTAATTTTGTATGATGAAACTTAAGTACGTATTTTTGTATTCTTATTAAAGAATCTTTCTATTCGATTCCATTTCAATAGAAAAATTTTTCATATAAAGATACTTAGAGCTGCTAGGTCGAATAAAAAAAAAAAATAATAATTGAAAAAATGTAATAATAATTAACAAAAAATATTACTATTTTCGAAAATTTACTAATTACTATTACGGAGTGTGTACGGAGCTCCTATGTTCTGAATATCAGAATACCATACTATGAAGATTTATCTAAAGATCATACTTGTGATTTCAAGCAAACATTTGTATAAAGTTTTCATAAGCACGTTATAGTAAAAAGATATATTGTTTGTAAATTTTATATTACTTTATAAGATTGAATCTAATTTCAGCTCCGCGCTCTACTTTTGCAATTTTTTTAAATTTATGAATACATACATTTTTTATTTAATTGTAAAATTATAATTATTAACACAAAATAAAAAAGGGGAAAATACTAAAAAAATATTTGATGTCGCTTAAAAACAACTATAATGGAAACAATTTAATGGAGTTGATTATGCGTTAATTTGAAATCCACCTTCTTTTTCCTAAATTACGTAAAAGTGCTTTTTCGGCATATTGTCCCTACTGGTCTAATTCCATTATTTCTTTCGATGTGTACTGACCTATCCCTTAGGATTTTCTCTAATTCTTTACCCTTTTCTTTCGTTTACGAGGCGAGTGAACAATTCCACTAAAATGGTTCCGTTTAGATATCGTCCTTTGTATCTAACAATCGCGATAGCTAGAAAAGAGCAGATCAAAGTGGTACGATTCTTCTCGCAATAAACTATAAATATTGAAACGCGAAGAGACAATTGTCTGAGGATATATATGATTAAAGGGAACATAAGTAAGTAATGCTGTATTTTTCAAACAAGCATGTATCATATATGTACATACAGACGTGTTAAAAAATTAAAAAGCATTGTAATTTTTTGTTACGTAAGAGAAACGAATAACGAAAGTAAAGATCAGAAGTAAAAACTGAAACAAGAGAAAAGATCTAAAGATAAAATATAATCAACTTTTTTTTTTGTTTTTATCGCTACTTCCTCTTTCCTTTCTTGGCAACAAGAAGATGAAAAAATGTTTCCAACCTCACAATTTAAAATAATGTTAATTAATTTTTAAAAACTAAAGAGAAATTTTAGGTTTCTTTTATCTTTCATATACATTTTGTACAAAAAATAATTAAAAACTGTAAATGCGAATAATATTATTGTTTTCATTTTTTATTTATTAATATTTTAAATTAAAATGAAAGAATATGTAAATAACACAACTGAATCTAAAAATTTATTATTTGTTTAATTTTAAATAATATTAAGATTAATAAGATTCTAAATTTATATCAAAAATAATATAAATAATGGAATTATTTAAATACAAAAATCTTAACGTTATAAAGTCGATTACGTAATATTCATAAGATAGATATAATAAATAATAATGTAGCATCTAATAAGAGAGAGACATATAACTACGGTTTTATTACAGTCTAGTTTCATGAATGTATGAATTTATGTTTTGTACATAGTGCGGAAAAGTTAATAACTTTTTCCCAGAAAAAGTTGTTTTTGTCTCTTTGATCATCGTAAGGACTTTTTACACATCAGAGACTGAAGCTTGTACGTATTATATTCGAATATACAACACATAAAACACATGTTTAAACAGTTATTTCTCTCGCAAAAACAGGTATATTTTTTATTAGTTTCAGTATTCAGATAATTTAATCTTGTTTCTTATAGGATAATTTTATGGTTGAATAGAAAAAGAGTAAAGAATAGAAATTTCTAAAAGTGTTATATTGCCATTGTAATGGCAATTTTACTTTTCTATAATTAAATATTTTACTTATTTCATATATGTAGTAAAATCAAAAGTATTTCAATTATTTTATGTATTTGTATATATTTTTACTTATAAAATACATAAAATGTAATTATCGCCACTTTAAACTAGATATTTAAAATCTGATAAAGATTTTCAGTACCTATATAAAAAAGCAATAAACAAAAATATATTTACTGATATATATAATTATCCATCATTGGATTGAAATTTATCAAAGCATTTTACTTCTTTTTTAGGATTGAATCGTCTGTTGCTGTAACAACAAGAAGTTCTGCCGTTCCCGCATAGATAATTAATAGAATTATTTATTTATCAGATATGAACAGATAGATGTTCGCTGTGTGTATAATCGTTTATGAGTGACTTAATGAACCACATTAACTCGATCACTTTGCTTCCGGTATAACGATAATAGGATATCGAGTATTAAATCGGAGCCCGTCAATTGCTGAAAGGAGATAAATAAAGATCTTCAACAGGATGTGGTTCTTCATGGCGTCATCAAATCTGATAAACGTAGTTTCCGAGCTGAATCTTTTGCTAGAATAAAAATAGTCGATGGGCGAACTTCTCCTTTCTTTTTATTTTTACAAACAGACCTTCTCTGTTTCTCGCATTTGGAACAAGGCAGCGAATCAATATATATAAATATGATATTTTCGCATTTCTACAATCTTCAATTATTGCAACCACATTTTTCAAACAAGATTGAAGGAT